CTATTATTTTTTTTTTTTCAAAAATTTGACGAAATAATCAAGTTTCTGGATAAAAAATGTGAAAAAACCTTGAAAAAAATGCAAAAATAAGTCAATGTTGCCAACTTAGTTAGATAGTTTTTTGTTGTTTTTTCTTATTTTTAAAATGACAATAAACTTTGAACCTTATAGCAACGCAAAATAATAAATGAATTTTAATATTGAAAGAGAAAAAAATTAGGATTATTTAAACAGTTCTGCTTTTTTTCTTAAACGCTCAAGCTTGAAAAAAAGTGCATTCATTTTTATGCTTAGATGAAGTCTTTTATAACCATAAAGAGTTAGTTCGATACTTTTGAATCACTCGTAAAAAGCTAAATTGTGAATTAAAATTCAAAAATTTCTCTAAAAATAAATCCCAGATAAAACCACACAGATAAAGATAAAATTTTTAATTTTCTCCCTTTTGTTTTATTTGAACAAAAAGATATTTGTTTATTTGTAATTTAGTTTTAATTTATTTCCTCTTTGACAGGGCATTACGCGCTCACTTTATGAGCGCTTTGATCACGTCATAAAGTCATTTACGGTCGAAAAAAGCCCTTAATCGCCTCTAAGAATGAAAAAAGCAGAGTTAGAGAAATAAACTTATTTTGCAAGCAAAGTTGTTAGAAGCGCATCGGCAACTTTTTCAGAAATCCATCAATTTGTTGACGTTTCCTCAAACAAGCAAAACGTCTCGAAGCATCCATTTATAATTTAATTAAGCCTGAAACGGCCTCTTCTTGCACTAATCCACTCCGACATGGAAATGACGTCCGTTTAATTACTTCCACGTTTTTTATCGCCGATCCTGAAAAGGCTAAACGAGTTTTCAGCCGTTTCAGTAATTATATTAACCGAGAAACAATAACAGATTTGTTACAATTTATCATTCCGATTGCGTAACGCGATTTCTTAACAGTGGAGGCACTTCATCGGATTTGATTCGAATATGAAATTTATTGCGAAAGTCGCTCGTTATACCCACTAAAGGAAATTATTACTTTCTAACGAGAAGTGTCTCTGATATTTTGCAATTATTGCAGAAAAATCTTTTCGGCTAAGAATTTCAGAGTTCACCTTGAGGAGGAAAAGTTCAGAGAGCATAATGCCCTGACTGCGGGCCACGCTCGTCTTTCTTTTGTTCTGTCATTAAACATGCGTGCCATGGCGTGTTATAAATTCACGTGAAGGTCGAGGATGGCCTCCGAATGTTGAAGGCAGACACGCAGTGAAAATTTTCAGAAGGATTTGATTTGCTTTCACGAAATGATGAGTTTAATTAGCACTTAACATGAGAACTTATTTACACAGATTCGAATGATATTGATTTTTAATGAGAGAGATCGAGAAAGAATTGTGTTTACAATTGGAGAAAAATCCTGACCACAAAACCTTCACACTACGGAAGAAAAAATGATAAATTAGCTTGTTTTTGCCCGCTTAGTCAGGCATTGAAGTTTCCACGATCTCTGTGCTAGACTAGCATTGAAGTCTCCAATAAATTACGTTGTAATTAACTTTTTCAGAATGTAAAACGACCGAAATGCCTGAAAAGTTTGTGTCTTAATCGGCATTGAGCTCTCGAATAAATTACCAGTAGGTAATTAATTTAATCCTCAGTGAGGATTAATAAAAAAAATCAAGTTCCTGAAAAAACTGTCTCTGAATAGAAATTGAGACAAAACTGGAGGATTATTAGCTTCAGTTTCGTTGATATTTAGATAATTAAACAGTTTTTTTATTTCCTCCGAAAGTGACAAAAAGTACTGAAATTTTCGGAAATATCAATGCAAAATAAGGATTCAAATGTAGTGATTTCAATGCCACGTAAACTCATGAGCCCAATAAAATAAAAGATTTTTTTTCCAAATCACAGATTGCCACAAAGAAAACAGTTTGATAGTCTCTGAAATGCTATAAAACGTAAATTATTAGAAGTATTTATCAAAAATTTAAAATTAAACGATAGAAATAACAAAAATTTTGGAGAGAAACGTGCTAAAACGCTTAAAAATTAAAAAATAATAGGTATAATTTTCGAATCAATTCGTTATTTTTTTTTTTGGTTTATTTTAGCATATAATAATTATAATTAATTAATTAATAATTAATAAAATCCTCAGTGAAGATTAATAAAAAAATTTAAGTTCCTGAAAAAACTGTCTCTGAATAGAATTTGGGACAAAACTGGAGGATTATTAGTCAGTGCTCAAGACACAAACTCGAAGAATAAAAGAACTGAAATTCCTGAAAAATTTGTGTTCTAGTCGGCATTGAGTTTTCCAATAAATTACCAATACTCTATTACATCTTGAATGAGAATTAATTGAGAAATTTATATAAATTCCTGAAAAATGGTTGTTCTAGTCTCTAAATGAAAACTAGAGTATTAGAACGCAAACTCGGTAACAGCAATGCTCAAGACATTAAAAAAAACTGAGATAATTATTTCTTTTCAGTATATTTGGTTTTTTTAGGACAAAATGACCATAGACGTATTTGTAGGTGGAATTCTTTTTGATTTTTTCACAATAACACAAACAGTTTTAGAGATATTAATGCTAAATTAAAATACAACTCAGTAACATCAATGCCAAATGACAAAATGAACTTAAAAAAATAATTCTAGCACAATTACTTGGGTATTTACAAGTATTTATTATTATGGTACTGCAAAAAATTCAAAAAAAAAAAAACTCAAAGATATGATCTGTGTGGTGGTCTAGCATTGAAGTCTCTAATAAATTATGTTGTAATTAACTTTCAGAATGTAAAACGACTGAAATGCCTGAAAAATGTCTGTTCTAGTCTCCAATAAATTACTAGTAATTAATTAAATTCTGAATAAAGATTAATGAAGAAATTTATACAAATTCCTGAAAAACTGTCGTTATAGTCTCTGAATGGAAATTAAGACAAAACTAGAGCATTAGAACGCAAACTCGGTAACAGCAATGCTCAAGACACAAATTCAAACATTATAAGAACTGAATTAATTACTTCTTTTCAGCACAAAAAGACCACAGACGTATTTTTAGATGCAATTATTTTTGATTTTTTCGCCTTAAAACAAACAGTTTTAAATTAGAGATATTAATATCTACTAAATTAAAATACAACTCGGTTATATCAATGTCAAATGACAAAATGAACTTAAAGAAAATAATTCTAGCACAATTATGTGGGTATTTACCTACAAGTATTTATTATTATGGTACTGCAAAAAAATTAAAAAAAAACTTAAAGAAATGCTCTGTGTGGTAGTCTAGCATTGAAGTCTCTTATAAATTATGTTGTAATTAACTTTTTCAGAATGTAAAACGACCGAAATGCATGAAAAATTTGTGTTCTAGTCGGCATTGAGCTCTCCAATAAATTACCAGTAATTAATTAAATCCTTAGTGAAGATTAATAAAGAAATTTATACGGCCAATAGACAAATTCTCTGAATAGAAATTGAGACAAAACAAGAAACAAACCCAAAGATTTAAAAAACTGAAATAATTACTTCCATCCATTATGTTTTTTTTTCAGAATAAATAAATGACCATGTAGACGTATTTGTATACGTATACAATTTTGTATATGTATACATTTTTTTTTAATTTTTTGCAAAAAAACAAATTTTTTTGAAGATATTAAATTAGAATACAACTCAGTTGACAAAAGGAACTTAAACAAAATAATTCTAGGACAATTATGTGGATATTTACAAGTACATATTTATTATTATTGTACTGCAAAAAATTTAAAAAAAAACTCAAGGAAGCTCGTATGATCTGTGTAGTAGTCTCTAATAAATAAGGTTGCAATTAACTTTTTCAGAATGTAAAACGATCGAAGAGCCTGAAAAATAATTTGTGTTCTAGTCGGCATTGAACCTTCCAATAAATTACCACTAATTAATTAAATCCTGTATGAAGATTAATAAAGAAATTTATACAAATTCCTTAAAAACTCTCGTTCTAGCCTCTGAATAGAAATTAAGACAAAACTAGAGTATCAGAACGCAAACTCGGTGACAGCAATGTTTAAAACGTGAACCCAAACATTTAAAAAAAAAACAGAAATAATTACTTCCTTTCAGTATTTTTCGTTTTTTCAGAAGACAATGACCCTTAACGTGCTTGTATACATATTTAAATCTTTTTCATTATTTTTACATTAAAACAAACATTTCCGAAGATATTAATATTGAATTAGAATACAACTCGGTGACATCAATGCCAAATGACAAAATGAACCCAAAGAAAATTATTATTTTTATTATAAGTCTAGCACAAATAGGTCACAATTCTATGAGAATTTATTGTTATGTTGAGCAACTGTAAAAAATAAACAAGAAACTTAAAAACATCAGTGATAAATAAAATACAAACAAACCCAAACATTAAAAAACTGAAATAATTACATACTTTCATTACGTTTTTTCACTTTCTTTCAGAAGAAAATAACCCTTGACATAGACGTAATTGCGTATTCACTTCTGTTTAATGTTTTACATTAAAACAAAAAATTTTTGGAGAAATTAATCCTAAATTAGAATACAAACTCAATGCCAAATTTAATGTCAAAGAAAACAATTATTTTTAGCACAAATCGACTACAATTCTGTAGGTCTCTATTATATTGCTGTCAGAAAACGTAAAACTCAAAACAAAACAAAAAGATCAAAGATTTTAATGATAAATAGGACACAAACTTGGTGACATCAACGCCACGTCAGGACACAAACCCGAGAAAGAGAGTAGATTTTTGTTACTTGTTTTTGGTCGAATTCGAGTTAAATTAACGCTAAATTAGGCCAGCAACGTGGTGATATCAACGTCCGATCACTTCCCAAGCCAACCACCCATAAACTCCCTTGCAACCCGATCGCATCGCCGGCGCAATTTGATATTTATCTCTTGTATTCAGTCATCGAACTCCCCATAAAATAATGACCTAGCAATAAAAGCCTTCTTGGTCTTTCGTAGGCGCACCGTCTCGTCCGCGATGCTGGGATGAATTCGCCGCTCCCGCAGAGTCCCCGGACCCGCAGGCCATCCGGGGGTCGTCGTCCCCCGACACACCTCCACTCGGACTGTCCCCCGGAACCAGAGGACTGCGACTCGCCCGGTCTGGGACAAAGATCGGTCTCTCTGGTAAGTGACGAGTCACGAAATCGTGCATGGAGAGGTTGCAGAGCGTGCGAACTTAATTGGAGGATATACAGCGTCACTGTCAAGGTTTCGTTGACCCTTTCCGGGACTAAATCGCGAAAAAACTGGTGCAGGTCACGTGGGAGGCGAGGTTGCAGAGAAATTCAAAGAAGCGAAGGCCGAATTCTTGGGTCGAGTGATCTATGAGCTTTTACTGACAAGTAGCAGGAAAAAATTTGAATGTAAATAATAAAAAACTTATGCCGTGGAAAATTGCAAGACATTTTTAAGATAGCCTTGCTTGCATAACAAAGAAAAAATTAAATTATGATAATTAACGGTTGCACAAAATTTTAGGAAACTTCAATGCCAAATAAAGAACTAACAACGAAAAAAACCATTTGAATTGTTTCTCCATCTTCATATTATACAAAGTGTTCCCATAAAGTTTTTGTGTCAAAACATGGGTAAATAAAGCAGAAACTTTGTGTTTAATGCTTATTTTATTGAAGATTGGGAGATTTCAATGATAGATTACGACACAATTTCTTCAACACTTAACCGTTTTTGTCACGATCATAATTAATTCATGCAATTATTATTAATGATTTATTTAATTATGATGTTGTGTAGGATGTGATAATAAATAAATTTTTTTCAATTCCTCAACGGAACATTGATTTCCTATTTCTTTTTTTCTTTTTCATATTTCTATATTTCTTTTCAACTCGTGTTAAGAAGGTTTTAGGCAATTTTCCGAGTCCAAAAACGTCTTTTGAAAACATTAAAGTCAAACTCAAGATTTTATCTATTTTTCTCTTACAGCATAAATACAGGGTGTCCCAGCAACTTAAAAAAGTCAACTAGTGAACTTTAAATGATAAAATTAAGTAAAAATTATATAGGACATTGATAGATACTAATCTAGTGCATCACCTAAAATTATTTTCAACCCTACAGCATGTCCCAAAAATAAGTTACGATACAAATTTGTGTTTTTTTAAATGAAACACCGTATGTTTCTTAGCATTTTTGGATGTAGCCTTTTAAAACAATGTTTTTACGCTAAACTTTTATTAGTCGGTTTCGCTTAGTTTTAGAAATAAGACGTTTTTTTGAAGAAAACATCCAGTTTTTAAAAATTCATTAGACAAAAACTAAGACAGCTAGAACAAGACTTTTCTTACTTCTGTAAAGAAGAAAGTACAGAATTTAAAGCTGTAGCAATTTTTTAGTGTTTTGCATTTGTAAAGATTAATAAATTAAGAAGTTTGTTAAAAGTTAAATAACTTTAAAAATTTAAATAAAATACCCTATTTTTTATTTTTGCATCTAATACAGAGTGGTTATAAATGATTTTCATCTAGCCAACTTTGGAATTTTTTTGCATGTAACTTTATTTGTGCCGCTCTACTTTTTTGAAAGTTCTAGTTCTGTCATTAGTGTCACTTATTAGTTAATAATAATTTTTGTTTCAACTAATTTCCAATAATAATTGATAATAATGTATACTTTGGAAGAAAACAAGTTTATAATTGAAGTCTATTTTAGTAGCTTAGTAAACGGCAATTTTTTAATTTTGAGGAGGTACCCCTATTTTCGTAAGGTGGCATTTTTTATTTTACATGGAAAATTCAAAGCTGGCTAGATGAAAATCATTTATAACCACTCTGTAGATTGATAAATTGTCTATCTAAAAAAATAAACTTTTAATGTCTGATAAATGAAAAGATATTGTTAATGCTATGGCAACAATAGTAATTCCACCACGGATCACTTATCCTGTAAAAATGGTTATAAATACTGAAATTCAAATTATTTTATTGTAAAAATAAAGAATAATGGATTCAGTTTAACACAAATGTGATTATTAAGTGATATTTCTTCCATCTCTTGTGCAACTGTGCACTTTTTGGCTACTGAAACAATAATAATTATTTTTTTTAATGTTTTACATTAAATATCTTTGTAGTTATTGATTATACCAACCTAAAAGTATATAATTTTAGAAAGACAATTTAATAATCTTTTAAATGCAAAAACAATAAATAGGGTGTTCCATTTAATTTTTTTAAGTTATTGAACTTTTAACAAAAGCTTTCATTTTTTATCTTTGCAAATGCAACACACTAAAAAAATGTTACTTTATACCTTCTTTGCGGTAGTAAAAAAATATTTCTAGGTGTCTTAGTTTTTGTGTAATACATTTTTAAAAAGTGCATGTTTTCGGTCTTATTTTTAAAACTAAGCAAAATCGACCAATAAAAATTTAGCAGCTTAAAAGCCTTGTTATAAAAATCTACATCCAAAAATGCCAAGAAACATATCGTGTTTCATTTAAAAAAACACAAGTTTGTATTGTAACTTATTTTTGAGACACACTGTACAGTTGAAAATAATTTTAGGTGATGGACTAGATTATTATCTATCAATGTCCGATATATGTTTTTTAAATTTTACGATTTAAAGGTCACTAATGTACTTTTTCAATTCGCTGGGACACCCTGTATGTAAAATGCCAGCCCACCTTATTCATCATGTAAATCCGACCTACATTTGAAGTCAAATTATGAGCGATTTCAATGCCACATTAGACCACATTCTTTCGTATTATTAACATTTTTATTAATTTCGCAATTTTTAACTTTCTCGCAGTTTCCTTCGTCTCAGAAATTTATCTATTTGTAATTTAATCTTGTCGGAGTTTTTCCTTCCCGATCGTGCAACAAGCCGAGTTTACGATCACGTCTTCGTCATTTACTCGTACGGGGAAGAAGTTAACGGCCACAAAACACTATCATCGCTAATAAAAAAATCAAAAAATTCCCACAAACACTTCGCTCTTCGCTATCGCCCATTTTTGGGATCGGTGCATTTTTCTCGCGACATTCCTTCGTCGGTCGCAAAACCGGTGCATCGGCTCGCATCTGTTTCAAGTGAACCGCAATTAACCGGCGAATACAGACATCAGGAGAGTCCCGATAACGGCGACAGTTAGCTCAGCTTCCGCAAGTTGTTGTAATCAGTGACACGATTTCCAAATCGGGGGGTTTCGACAAGAAGTCGAAGATTGGGTGTGGGCGGGTTATTTGTCGACAGATCGTTATTAGATTCCGCACTAATTAACATACAGGAGGTCGCTGGCGCCGCAGCGTGGGCACCAGCATTGTCTCCTAACCCACCCAGCCGGAATTCGACGTTTTCAGCACTTTCCCTTTCGAAAAATCGAGGAAATTCCAGGCCAAGTTTTGGCGCCTAACCTGGCGTTGAAGTCTCCAAGTATTTTTCCATTTATGTTCAAACTTCATAAAAATTTTTGATACAACAGACAAAAAATCGAAAACAAAAACAATATGCCGCTTCCTAATTTGAAATTGAAGCCTAGGTATTTAAACAAAATCTCTACCGGAACACTTCTCTTCACCAATAATCTCAAAAAAAATTAAACAACCCAAAAATACTTGTAAAACCTTGAAATATTGTTTTTTAGTAAAATAATAAACAAATGAAACTTAAAACCATCATAGGACACCATATGATACCTAAAAGTTTAAAAAAAAAAATACAAATGTTCAGAATATTTAATCTGTTACTGAAATCTCAATTTGCCAAAATTTTTATTTTGGCGCTTTTCTTTACATCTAAGAAGGTTATCTCAAAAATTTCAGCAAAACAAGGAAATCAGTTTGATAAAAAATTGAAACAGAAATATTTCTTCTGGCATTGAAATCACCAAGAATTTTGACTATATTTTTATTTTAGAGCATTTCTCTTCAAAACTCATAGAAATTTTTATCACAATAAACAAAAACTCAAAAAAACAAAAAAAAAATAAAACAATTTCCTAATTTGGCATAAAAGTTTCCATAAGTTTAGACAAAATCTCCACCTTTTCCGTTTTGGGAAAAAAAATTTGTAGGTAAATTGTAAATTATAAAAACTATATTTTTATTTTAGAGCATTTCTCTTCAAAATTCATATAAATTCTTATCACAATAAACAAAAACTCAAAAAAACAAAAAAAAAAAATAAAACATAATTTCCTAATTTGGCATAAAAAGTTTCCATAAGTTTAGACAAAATCTCCACTTTCTCAGTTTTGGGAAAAAATTTTTGTAGGTAAATTGTAAATTATAAAAACTATATTTTTACTTTAGAGCATTTCTCTTCAAATTCATAGTAATTCTTATCACAATAAACAAAATCTCAAAAAAACAAAAAAAATATTACAAAACACATAGTTTCCTAATTTGGCATAAAAGTTTCCATAAGTTTAGACAAAATCTCTACTTTCTCCGTTTTGGGGAAAAAATTTTTGTAAAAAAATTGTAGGTTAATTGTAAAAACATTTAAAAATGTGCCTAATCTGGCATTGAAATCGTGCCTATATTTTTCCTTTACCGCACTTTGTTCAAAATTCATAAAAAAATTTCATTACAAGTAACATAAACTCAATTTCAGTGTAAAAATTGGAAAAAAAACATAAAACCAAAAACATTTAATTTTCTAATTTGACATTAAAGTTTCCAGAAATTTGGACAAAATCTCCATCTTGGCAATTTTGATAACAATTAATGGCAAGCACAATGGGCAAACCAAACGTTCTGTTCAAAAATGCTTGGAAAAACTGGAAATTAAAATATTTTGGACTAATTTGGCATTGAAAATGCAAACAAAAAAGATTATATTTACCTCAATATAGAAATAAAATCACAGTTCAGTCCAAATATTAATTCTTTTTTCAAAATGTTTAATTTCTTAATCTGCCATTGAAGTCACTACGTTGGTACTTTTTTTCACAAATAATCTCAAAAAAACATTAAGCAAACCAAAAATTCTTGGAAAAAGTTGAAATATTGACACTTAACTTACTTAAACAAATGAAACTTGAAAACCATAGTTTTTATCTGACACCTAAGTTAAAAAAAGTTCATAACATTTAATCTGTTACTGAAATCTTAATTTGACAAAATTTTTATATTGCCATTTTTTTTATAAATAAGTTATCTCAAAAATTCTTGCAAAAACTGAAGCAAAAACATTTAAAAAAATCTGGCCTAAACTGGCATTAAAATCTCTAAGAATTTTGACTATATTGTCATTTTAGCGCATTAGAAATTCTTATAAACAAATAAAATTCAAATCCACTGTCCAGTGTAATACCTGAAAAAAAAACATACAAAAAAATAAGAAACAAATTAATTTCCTAATTTGGCATTAAGGTCTTTAGGAGTTTGGACAAAATCTACACTTTGGCAGTTTTGTTTACAATTAAACGCAAACACAATGGGCATTCCGTTCAAAAATGCTTGGACAAACTGAAAATTGAAACTTTTGAAGGCTAATCTGCCATTGAAGTTTTAAAGAATTTTGATTGTTTTCAGTTCAGTTCAGTTATTGAAATAGTTTTAGAAATTCTGATCTCAATAAACAAATAAAACCACAGTTTTATACAAATTTTGAAAAATAAAATAAAATTTGTTTTCAAAACGTTTAATTTCCTAATCTGGTATTGAAGTTTCCATAGTTTGACAAAATTTTTACTTTGGCACTTTTCTTTAGAAATAATCGCAGAAATCGTAACATTATCATGCAGAAAAATTTTTGAAATAGAGAGACAAATATCAAAAAATATTGGGGCTTTAAAGAATTTCAACAATATTTCTACTTCTGTTTCAAAATTCACAACAAGCAAGACCAGAGTCAAAAAAATATAAGAAAATAAAGAAAAATACAAAATATTTACTTTCTTAATTTAACATTAAGGTCTAGACAGTCTAGACATTTGTCCAAAATCTGCACTTTAGGACTTTAGTTTAGCTAACCACGATAACAAACTAAACAATTTTTTTGCAAAAAACTGAAATAGAAAGAATTTTCAAAAATTTGTGGCGTAATCTAGCATTGAAGTCTCCCCGAAAACCAAAGAATTAGTGCACTTTCGGCGCTTTTCTCCTCAAACCGGAAAAGCTACAAAACTCATTATCACCATAATTGCTTTCAAATGCCAGATATTTCACACTTTTACTAAGAAAATCACTTCTTGCACAACTCTCGCTAAATGAAGAATCATCTCGCCGCCAGCCATCTATAATTAAAAGGCGTGGAATTAAATCGTGCAATTGAATTATCTCGAGGCTGTTTTGTTTCAGACGACTCTCCAGCCAGCTATCATCCAGCCCAGAATGGCTCAACTGGAGACACTCGAAGCCAAGGTAAGGCCGAAATTCCGGGCGCGGATTATCATTTAGTACCGTTAAAGTCGTGACATTTCGTCAGAATTATTGTGTTTTATAGAGTCATTTCGAGCAAGTCGTTTAAAATGTGTTTAATGGGATTTCGTGTCGTGTGGTGAGGCTAGCTGAGAGGCAATTAGCGAGTTGCGAGGACTAAATTGGCGCGATGGGAGTACTAATACGTACTAGGAGTAATTAGAGAAGAATTTCAGGAGTTTAGTTAATAGCGTTTCGTAATTACGGGTGCTTTATGGGGTCACAACAAAATTTGAAAAAAGTAGTACCGTGATTCGTGGTACCAATTTGATTATGTATTTCACTCTTCTCAACTTGAGTTATTGGTTGTAAAATTAACAATCCAGTGTGAGTTTCACCAATTAAAAAATAATAGGAATGATATTTTTATAATGAAGAAACGTGCGAATTTACAGCTTGGTACCAATTTTCGATTCCTGATGTCATAAAAAACACCTTCAAATTATACAGGGTGTCCCACCTAAGACTAATATCTCTATAATAATACTGTGAGATCAAAAATTATTTTGGTCAAGGGTGGCATGGAATGTAAAACAAATTTAAAAAAATTACATTAAAACGCTAACACTTTTCATGTTTTTTTTTTTTAATTGGCTTGGACAATTTAAGCTTTTATTAGACGCAACCACACTTTTTTTGACATAACAATTATTATAAAATCCATGTCCACCCTTGACCAAGATACTTTTTGATCTCACGGTAGTAAATTGAAAAAATTTGTTTTAATATAATATTTTTTATCTTGAAGTAATTTTATTAAGACTAATTGAATCTCCACCTTCTAATTTGCCTACATTTTAAATTTCATAAAAATCCGTTGGCAAATAACAGATATTTGATACAAAAGTCTTACGTGAGACACCCTGTATTATAATTCCTTATATTCATTTTACTTACTTTTGGTTTCCTATACACATTATTCTACTACACTTTCTATATGTGCATTTTTCTCTTTCAATAATTATTTGAATTATTAGTTTTCGAAATTTGTTTGGAGTAAATTAATGGAAAAAAAAACTTACCTTTTATTTTATATTTTTATTTGGCTTAAAAACAAAAATAGTTTTTTATAAGTTCTAATATAACTTTCAATATACGAAATTTACAAAATAAAAAAAAGTTTTTATTTATTTTTACATATAGGTAGAGTATATAATTATTATCTTTCCTTATGTTTCATTTTACTTACCTTTTGTTTTCCTATACAGGGGGCGCCAGAACTCGCGCCCCAGAAAAAAATTTCAGGTAAGGTAAGGTACCAGGAACATGAATAAAATGTTTAAAAAATTCTATCTGTCAAAAAATTTTGACATTTATTTTTTGACATTTGACATTTGACATTTTTTTATATCTATTTAATGATACTGGTGATCTTGTATATGTTTTTTTACATTTATTTAGTAAAGAGACAAAAATTTTGACAATAAAAGTCACAAATAACATTAAACAGAATTACAATTTAGGATACAGCTTCCTTGCAAAAAACTTGGAAAATTTTTTTTCCAACAGAAATAAATAGAGTCAAAGGGCAAACTTTAAACCCTCGTAACTTCGAAATTTTTATAGATAAAATTTTTTTAACATTTTTTCCATGTTCCTGGTATCCTACCTTATATGGCATTTTTCTCTGGAGCGCGAGTTCTGGCGCACCCTGTATACGTTTATCTATTGCACTTCTATGTGCAAGACTGCAAGATGAACAGTTTTTCGTTTTCAATCGTTTCGTTATCAATGTTCTATTCTTTCCACAGCCTACCTTCTTTAATTTAATTTTCAAATTGCCTAAAATTTTTAAGCTAAATTTTTATTGGTCGATTTTGCTTAGTTTTAAAAATAAGACGGTTTTATTTGACGAAAAAAAAAATTTTCTTTTTACTACGGCAAAGAAGAAGGTACAAGCTTTAAGGTTGTAACAGTTTTTTAGTGTGTTGTCTTTGCAAAGATAAAAAAATGGAGACGATCGTTAAAAAATCGATAACTTAAAAAATTCAAATGGAACACCCTATTTATTGTTTTTGATATAAAAGATTATTAATTTGTCTTTTTAACATTATTTACTTTTAAGTGTTTATAATCCATAACTAAAAAGATATTTAACGTTAAACATAAAAAAATAATTACTATTGTTTCAGTAGCCAAAAAGTGCACAGTTGCACAAGAGATGGAAGAAATATCACTTAATAATCACATTTGTGTTAATATGAATCCATTACCCTTTATTTTTACAATAAAATAATTCGAATTTCAGTAATTATAACGACTTTAACAATCTCTGGATAAATCAACGGATAAGTGATTAAGGCATTGTTGCTACAATTAATATTGAATGTTAAATATCTTTTCATTTATCAATTCTAGACATTAAAAGTTTATTTTTTTAGATAGACAATTTATCAATCTATTGGGTGCAAAAAGAAAAAATAAGGTGTTCTATTTAATTTTTTTAGTGATCTAACTTTTAACAAACTTCTTAATTATTATTAATCTTTGCAAATGCAAAACACTAAAAAATTGCTACAACTTAATATTCTGTACTTTCTTCTTTGCAAAAGTAAGAAAAAAGTTGTTCTAGCTGTCTTAGTTTTTGTGTAATACATTTTTAAAAAGTGCATGTTTTCGTCACAAAAAACGTTTTATTTCTAAAACTAGGCGAAATCGACTAATAAAAATTTAGCGTAAAAACATTGTTTTAAAAGGCTATATTCAAAAATGACAAGAAACATACGGTGTTTCATTTAAAAAACACTAAAGTTTGTTTCGTAACTTATTTTTGGGACATGCTGTATAGTTGAAAATAATTTTAGGTGATGCACTAGAATGTCCTATGCATTTTTTTAAATTTTATCATTGAAAGGTCACTAATCGCGGAGACACCCTGTATTTAAAAATAATGGAGTTATGACTTGGAGCGTTTCAGCCTGTATATATTAAAATTGGATTTTTTTTATCTTCAGGTAATTTTATTAATACTAATTAAATCTCCATCTCTTAAGTTTTAAGTACATTTTAAATTTCATAAAAATCCGTTGGCAAATAACAGAAATATTAGACTTGAAAGTCTTACGTGAAACATCCTGTAAACTGGATTTTAAAACAAACAAACAAACAAAAATGCTCAATCTTTCCCAATATGGTAACATCTTTTTCAGGTCCAAACATTAATAGGTGGTACTATTTATTAGAAACACCTTTACACCGAAAGATATCACAAATTTCGCAACAGTTTTGCAAAAATTCCGGTGCGTTGGTGGTACGATAAGTGGCAATTTCGCGACTTAATAGTAGGCTTATCCTTGTGTAACTAAGTACCATCTTCCACCCTCGCCACCTTTCTTCCATAAATCATGCTTTGTTTCTGTTTATCCAAGAGGATGTTTCTCGACAGCGCCTCCTATTAATAGCAATGATTTATAAATCCGAGCACCGACTCCGGTACTACATAAACATTCCACTCTATTGTGTTTTAGGGCATGTGGGTGGGTGGTTGCGAAGTCAGCTTTTGCTGACCTGCAACGCCTCGGGTTAAACAGGTCCATGCATATTCTACACAAAGAAATTTTTTCGTCTTGTAGATGGCCAGTATCGAGGTGTCCCTCTCGAGCACACCCAGACGCAAAAAGAACATCACTGGGATTAACGCCTCGATCAGATCTATCCCCAAAGAAATCGCAGCGAAGGAGTTAGAGACTTTGAGAAATGCCTTGCGAGACAAGGAAAATATTATACAAAGTTTGAAAGGACAACTGACAATCCCAGGATTGAGGTTGTCACAAATGAGGAACCCCGCGAACAGCAATCGAGATTTGACAGAAATCGAGAAAAAACAAGCCGAAGAGAGACTCAACCGACTCAAAACAGACGTCGATAACAAGAGATTGGCCATTAAGAACCTCAAAATGGCGCTGGAACGGCTGGATATCACCGAGTAAGGAGTGGTACCACTATACAGGGGGCGCCAGAACTCGCGCCCCAGAGAAAAATTCCATGTAGGGTAAAATACCAGGAACATGGAAAAAACTCTATCTATAGAAATTTCGAAATTATGAGACTTTAAATTTTGCACTTTGACTCTATTTATTTCGGAAAAACAATTTTCAAAATTTTTGTAAATAATTGTAACTCTGTTTAATGTTATTTGTGGTTTTATTGGCAAAATTTTTGGATTTTTACTAGATAATTATAAAAAACATATACAAGATCATCAGTGTCATTAAATAGACAAAAAAATTTAAAATATGAAAAAAGATTTTGACAGAGAATTTTTTAAACATTTTTTTCGTGTTCCTGGTATCTTAACTTACTTGAAATTCTTCTCTGGGGCATGAGTTCTGACACACCCTCTATATCTCTTTCAGTATTTTATTTTTTATAATTAATTATTAGGAAACATCAGTGGCAAACTTACCAAAACATTAAAACACAATTATTATGTAGTTTGCTTCAACTATTTTTGAATTGTCAGTTTAAAAAAACTGTATGCTACATATTTATGCATAAATTTTTAGGAATGGTTAATTTTTGATAAAAATTGAGAACATTTGTAGAATCGTGTCAAAAATTTAATAATTATTATACGAGTAATCCCAATTTTCATTTTTTTTTTTCATAATATTTTCAGTTTTTATTTTTTGTGTTATATTTTAGTAGATGTACCTACCTCAATGTTATTATAATTATTTACTAATAATAACAGAAATTCTATAACATTTTATTTATTATTTTTAATTTTCTTTATTTTTTATTATTTTATACGTGCATGTTTTAACGTGTGATTAATAAAACATAAAATTATTTTTTTAGTTAATCTAAAATTAATATGAATGTTGCATCTTTGAAAATCTGAACATATAAAAGTTAGTACAATTTTTTGCAATTTTGAGAGTAACTAAATCTCTTTGAATCATTCCATGCATATTAAAAGCCTCCAAATGTAAAAAAATAGTTTTTTTTATAAAAATGGTATATCTACTTGGTGAACAGAAAGAATAGAACTAAATGTTTTTTGCTTAAACCATTTATTTAAAAAAAAGATGTATGATAAAGAAGGTACTATAAAAATGTGGCGTTTTCGTTTTCGAGTTTTGTAAAATGGTTTATTTTTTAAATAGTGACCCACTATATTTTTTTACAAAGACTAATCAAAACATTACAATTATCTACATTTTATTCAGTTTTTATTGAATTTTGAACAAAAATCGATAACGCAAAACCAAAACAAAATTTAATTCTCAAAACACGACCACATTTTTTATAACACTTTTTAATTTAATATAAACGCTTGGTTTCATATTTTTGTTCACCCCGTTTAACTGCCTATATCTACATATTTACATAATACAGGATATTTATAAAAGAACGTATATTAAGAGTATCATAAAAAAATTGAACGTTATATTTGACATAGATTGTTACGCTAATAAACAATTAAAATATTTAGGATCTATTAGATTTCACAACATACCTGATATGTTTTCTTTAATAAACACTCTGTATATTAAAAAATGTTCAAAAATGTTTGGAAAACATCGAAAATCTAATAAGTAATCAAAGTTTTGCAAATTGTGTTTTTTTATCTCCTCCAGTTTGTTGTATTGCATTTTAAAAGTGTACTTATTATCTCAATTATTTACATAAACTTTTACATATTTATTTATTATTTAAATTCACCACTATTTGCCAACCTGTGTAAAGTTCCAATTTGTTACAAAGCACTAAATTATTTTATAAAATTAATGGACAAACTAATTTTTTTAAAAATTGAAAACATAATAAACGAACGTTCAAATATTTGAATTTTTCAATTACAACGTATAATCATAATGTAATCTTTTTTGTAGGTATATTTAAAAAGACCTTCAAAAATTTAAATCGATCCTACTTGCAAGCTTTTTTTTTACAAAACTACTATCTTTTTAAAAAAATATGAAAAAGTAAATTTTTTGAATAAAATAAAAAAACAGTAAAAAATGTTCAAGCATTTTTATTTGAAAAGTTTTAAAATTGTAACAGAAATTATTTCAAGACACATACGTGTTCATAAAATTTTTACAACACTTTTGATATGTGTTCTTTTAACACTTTATATGTAGGTATACAGAGTGCGCCAGAACTTGCACCCAAGGTAAGATAACATGAACATGAAAAAAATGATAAAAAAATTCTATCTACAAGAATTTTAAAATTATGGCAGTTTAAATTTTGCACTTTGACTCAATTTATTTCTGTCGGAAAAATAATTTTCCAAGTTTTTTTGCTACAGGCTACTAGAAGAGGAAACAAGGAAGCTTTTTTTGTACCTTTACTAAAGCATTTAAACAATACAAGATCATCAGTATTATTAAAAAGACATAAAAAAAAATGTCAAATGTCAAATGTTCCTGGTATCTTACATGAAATTTTTCTCTGGAGCGCGAGTTCTGACACAGCCTGTATTTTAATTTTGGTACCACTTAGGGAGTGGCCCTGCAAAAACTTCACCTAATCTATTTTTTCTAGTAACATCGACGTGCGGATCCAGCAGGCCGAGCTGGAGTACCAGTTAGGCCGCGAAGAGCTCAATTTGTTAACACTGCTCGAGGAAACGCGCGCTCTCCAATTATGTCTCGATGAGTCGAATAAAAACTCGTCGGAATCTCATACCCTGTACAGGTACCATCTTCAAACCGTACCAAATCGAGATAGTTTCGTTTTTTTTTTTCTTCCAGTTGTGTTAACGGAAGCGTCCACGTGATTCTTCTAGGTGTCGAGGTCGAGTACGACCCAAAAAGCCCCAAATTCGGGGCCAGTCAGAAGGAGGCAGTACCGGGCTTGTGGATAGATTGGGCACTTGAAGAAACGGGACTGTGTAAAGGTGACAGGTGAGCTTATTAACGCCTGATGTGGGAAAAAACAAATAATCGACTATTATTTTTTCATCGCGATTACGTGGTGGCTATTGTTCCAGTACGAGTCGTACCAACCGGCGGGTACTGTTATTGATACAAAACGTATCTTAATTACTGATCAGAGGTACTTCCAGGCGGATAATTTGGTTTACGTGTGGGAATAGGGGCAGAGAGAGTCATTTTGTTTGCATAATTTGAAGAGTAGTACCTTACAAGTACCCACAAAAAATTACTGGAATGCATAATGTACTTATTTCGAAATTAAACCGTCATTAGCTTGCACTAATTTCCCCAGAAAAAAAAGTAAAGTCATGTTTCTTACTTTGGATAGTTAGATACAGGGTGTTAAAAAAGATTGTAAAACATTTAAGGAGGTAATAGTATGATTCAAAATAAACAAAAAAGTCTTAATAAACGTGGGTCCGCAAAGTAACGGTTTTGGAGATGTCGAATGTAATTTTTTTTAGAATTCCTACTAGAGCTTTTTTTCTTTGTTTGAACAGATTGTAAATAAATGTTTCAAAAAACCAATAATTTTTGATATCTCCGAAATCGTTACTTTGCGGACCCCTGTTTATTAGAACTATTTTCTTTGTTTTGGATGTAGTTACATCCCGAATTATTTTACAATCTTTTTTTAACACCCTGTATAACTTTTATTTTTTTTTTTTGAAAAATCTAAAGTTTGCAGAATTTTTTAAAATTGATTCAAAAGCATGAATATGCGTAATTGGTACTACAAAAACTAAAAGTTAAAAAAAGTGCTTTTTGTTGGTAAACACCGTAGAAAGTACCACGTATTCAATTAAATTTCTTATTAAAGTAACCCACGACTTTGAAATTAATTAATTGAACGTATGGTACTATTTAGGTAAAATTTTTAATACCTACCAAAAAAGGCATGCTTTTCTGTTTTAATATAACAACTATTAGGTACTAAAACAGAAAGTGGTACTGTGGTGGTACCCACATTAATTGCAGTTGTGTAAAGTAACTCTTAACTCTTCTTGACTAATTATTATATTAAACAGTAAAATGCTTTTCCTTTTTATGAAATAAATGCATGAAAAATTGTGAGAATGTTTAGTACCAACTGTGAGAGAAGATGAATATCTTTTTCTGTATCTTCTTTATTTTTCTTTGCTTTTTAGAAAACTGTTTATAGTCAGTTTTTAATTTAGTCAGTACCCAGTTTAAAAGCAAACTTTAGAAATTGGTACTGCCTGCTTTTACTGTAGAATTTAAAAAAAATACCATAATGGAAAGGCTGTTGTTCCGTTTTTATTGTTACAAATTTAAATATTGTCGTATCAACAAGAAATCACTGTCTGGGATTTAGGGATATTCGTGAATAGGTTGCCATAAATTTGGTTAGGTTGGTTTCTGGTGACAAACAAAAGATATCGTAACTAATGTCAAAATTTAGGTTAAGTCACCTGGCAGCTTGTATGGATAATTTAATTGATAGTTGACAGCAGGTTGACAGAAAACGTCAACAACAAGGGGTAACCAACCCTAAGCATTCAAAATTACTTCTGAAAATTCTAGTTACAAACAACATAAAAAAGTTCAAATCCTAGGTGGTAATTGCTTGTTGACAAATCTGTAGATGGTAGAATATTCAATTTTAAGACAAAAGTTTCCTATAAACATATTTCGATTTTTATGTTTTTTATGCTCTGTAACATAAATTTTGAAACTGATTTCACTCAAATTGGTAGTTGTATTGGAAAAACGCAAAAGACCTTTTTTATGAAAAACTTTGAAATTTAGAATTTTGTTGCTGAAAGTGGCAAGAAACTACAGACAAAATAGTTGGAGTATTTTTTACCCTAAACCCACCCAATTTAGAAAGCCTCTGATAAAAAATTTCAACATTTTATCTTTGAATTCGTTTAGGTGTATAAAGGTTATCATCTGTATCAAATTTTTGTAACTTTATCTAAAATGGTTTCGAAAATATTGGATACATATTTTCGATACATGTTCATAGGAAACATTTGTTTTAAAATTGAATATTCTATCTCCTGTTTAAATTTGTAATAAAAACAGAACAGCCTGTGTATCTTTATACAGGGTGATTCAAAAGTATCGGACCATCTTTTGGGTTAAAAGTTCCCATGACTAAAAATTGTTTGGGCCTTTTTTCACGAAATTCAAAGATTAGAGGCCTACATGATAAAAAATGATGATAAAAGTTGACAGCTTGAAACAAAAATCTGAATTCATTTTCGAGAGTTAGTCCGACATTTTTGAATCACCCTACATCTTTTGTAAGCTGGTGGTTGTTACTAACACCCATTCTTTTACATAGTTATAGCTTTTATTATTTTTTTGAAAAGTTTTATTTGTAGAATTTTTAATAAGTAACATAAAAGATTATATGAATAATTATTATTAAGATAAGGCTAAAATGAAAACAACATTTTGTGCGTTGTGGTGGTACTAGTAAAAGGTACTATTCAAACATTCTTAGTACCAAAAGGAGAAGATTGTTATAGAACAACTTCTATTTCTTCTATTTCACCACTAGGTACTATTTCAAATACTGTGTGATACTATTATAGTACCCACATTAACTACAGTTGTGTGAAATAAATTTTGTTCACTATAAAATTGCAATAAAAATAAAAACTATCCTATTTATTTAAACAAATGTTTTAAAAATTGTGAGAATGTTGGGTATTAATGGTGGGAGACAAATATTTTTTTTTAAATAAGTGATGTTATTTTCTTTGTTTTCTTTTAGAAACTTGATCATAATTTAGTTAATACTCAGTAAAAACTAACACTAGTTTAGCAATTAGCAATTTTGACTATTTTAAAATAATATCGCATTGTTACAACTTTGCAAAATCTTGACAATAATAAAAACAAAAAGTTGTACCAAGCTTTGGTACTACTAAGAGCAAAAAGCATAAAAATAAAAATCTGCCATAAATCATTACTCCATTATTCTGTCACAGCAGGACTTATTCTTCCCGCAGTACGACCATTAAGTACTAATCCGGAGCGTATCCTTCATAAAACCACTCTTCGTAACTGATACTTTAAAATAATTTGCTCATTGTCTAGGAACAAATTCAGACATTTTAATTGGGTTTTGCATAACGTTAAATTTAGAAAGTAGTACCGAAATTGCACCGATCGTAAAAATGCCAAAAACCCAAAAAAACACATCAAATTCTTATCTGAAAAAGTGTGAAACAATTTCTGCTCCACAAAACCAGTTTTTATCGTGAATTATTACTATTGAAATTTTTGGTGAGTTTTGTCTCGATTTTGTTTGTGTTTTAAAAAATAATGTCAAGTCCAACTCTTGTGTAATTTTGCGGTTGGAAAGCGTCAGATAAGCGACCGGAAACTCCGACAATGGGAACCGAAGTCAACACTCGTAACCTTCCACCCGTATATCCGGCCGCACTTGTTTCTATCTCCGACTTGCACGCTATTTAAAAAATACAGTTACCAAAACTGCTCGGAATCAATCAAAATCTAATTATTTCTGCGTTTTCTGCAACGACAAATTACACAAGGAATAAATTACTACGTATTACTTGAGTCATATATCACGTGTGTAACGTAGTGTGGAGAGTAGGTGTGTATTATACAAATCTTGCAGATTGGTCGAAGTCAACGGGAAAATCGTCTTGACGAAGAATCGCGATGATCTCAGTAGACTGCTTGCGGCAGCACCGGACCCAGCCCAAATCGTCATTTTGCGGAAATTGGCCCAAAACGGTACCACCCCCAGCGTGGGCACCACCAGCAAGGAAGTGGCCTCGCTGCGGTGCGAACTGGAGGCGGTGCGAGAACGAGCCGATGAGGCACAGAAAACAAAAGAAAACCTCATCTCGGATAACATCAGACTCACACATCGAATCTCCTATTTGGAAGAACAAGTAATGTGAAACACTCTGTACAGGGTTTACAAGTTTCAGGGGGGCAAAAATTAATATTTCTAATTGATTAAAAAAGAATTTTGATAAAACGATAGAGGATTGAATACACTTTTATTTGATGTTTGGATATTGCACAAAATTTTAAGGTATGGCAGTGAGACCTTAAAAATTAAATTTGGAGAAAAAAAATTCCAATTAACTGGAATATTTTCTACAAGATAAAATTTTTTGATTTTTTTATGTGGTATTTGTGAAAATAGAATAATGATAAAGTTGATAGGTTTTGAATAATTAACATTTGGATATTGAAAATCTAAAACTTGGAATAACTTATGGGGGGGTCTGGGATAATTGGTGATCAGGCCAAAATTTATTTTTTTTTTTTTATTAAAAAAATTGAACAATATTAAAGCATCAAATTGAATTCTATAAATCCTCTATCGTTTGCACTAGCAAAATTTTTTCAATCAAATGGAAATATTTATTTTTGCGCCGGCCCTAAAACTTGGGACACCCTGTATTCAAGGCTGTTCCGGCTAAACCCCACATTAGAAGTATTAGGAGTTCTAAGAGTGATATTTATCTAAAATTTTGACTATAGCTATAATCGGTTAGGTGTTGCTCAATGAAAATATTTTGAAGATGCACTTCCGGTTACAACTTCGTTATTTTAAATAGAAAGTTATGTTTCTTATTACGTTTTTGGATTATTCAAGTGATTTTGAGAGAGTTTTTATTAGACTTCCCTATACCTAAACTTAACCGTTTTTGAACTATTTAGACTTTTTTGTTTTTTTTTAATTTGCGTTTTCCTCTCTAAAAATCTATAACTCTATACCATTTTTAATTATTTTGAAATCGTATTTGCGCATATGAAAACGAAAGATTAGATCTTTTCTTTCGTGTATTTATAATTGGAAAAATAATTAACAAACCTCCAAACTTTAAGGTAATGTTTGGGAAACCTCAAATACCCGTAACTGAATTTTTTCAAATGTAAGGCTTCATTAAATAAAAAAAAATCTGCATCGATCTGTATCAACATTCCCTATACCCAAATTTAATGATTTAAAAGTTATTTTGATTTTTCCTTTACAATGGAGGAAATTCATTACTATCCATGATAGTTTTCATAGCTTGCCATAGAAATATTTCTTACTGAAAAAATGTCAAGTTTTTTTTCACAATTGTGTTATTCTTTTCATAAATACAAATTAAATTTATTTAATCTAAATTTAAATAACTTTGACATTCAATTTTTTTCTTATTTCTATGACAACCTATTCTAAAGTAGCTATGGCTAATGAATTTCTCACAATATCAAAAGAAGTTACTATAACTTGAAAACTATCAAACATAGGTATAGGGAATATTAATACAGATTGAAGCAGAACTAAATTCTCCTCCATTTAGTGAAGAAAAAATTGGAGTTTTTTATTTAGAAAAATTGAGTGAAGAGTATTTGAAGTTTCATAAAAGTAACCGTACATTTTGACGGTTTGTTAATTATTTTTCTAATTATAAATACACCCAAGGAAAGATCTATCCTTTTTCTCTCGTATATCCAAATACGGTTTCAACATAATAAACAATGGTAGATTTATCGATTTTTGAATAGGAAAATCCAAATCCAAAAAATTTTAAAAAGGTCTAAATATTTCGAAAACGGTTATACTTAGGTATAGGGAAAGCTAATAAAAACTCACTTGAGTAATCTAGAAACGTAATAAAAAACATATTTTTTTTTATGTTTGGACTTTTTTTAAATGTTTTTAATTTGCGTTTTTCTCTCCAAAAATCGATAACTCTACCATTTTTAATTATTTTCAAATCGTATTTGGGCATATGAAAAAGAAATGTTAGATCTTTGCTTTCATCTATTTACAGTGTTTTTCTTTTGGTTTTCCTCTTTTGTCAAATAWATTTCACTATTACTCAAAACTATTTCATTTGATATATTAATGTCAAAGCGATAAGTGAGAAATAGTTTTGAGAAATACTGAAATACATTTGAAAAACGAGGAAAATCAAAAGAAAAACACTGTATATGTAATTGGAAAAATAATTAACAAACCTCCAAAATTTAAGATTACGTTTGGGAAATTTTAAATAYCCGTAACTGAATTTTTTCAATAATTTTGCATCGATCTGCATCTACATTCCCTATACCTAAATTCAATGATTTCCAAGTTATTTTAACTTTTTTTTACAATGGAAGAAATTCATCCATGGTAGTTTTCGTATTGTAGTTTGCTATGGAAATTTTTCTCATTGAAAAAACGCCGAGTTTTGTTTCACAATTGTGTTATTGTTTTTGTAAATAAAAATTAAATTTATTTAATCTAAATTTGAAAAAATTGGAGTGTTTTATTTAAAAAAAAATTCAGTTAAGGGTGTTTGAGGTTTCCTAAACGTAACTTTACATTTTGCGGTTTGTTAATTATTTTTCCAATTATGAATACACCAAAAAAAAATCTAACCTTTTTCTTTCGTATACCTAAATACGGTTTCAACATAATAAAAAATCGTAGAGTTATCGATTTTTGAATAGGAAGATCCAAATCCAAAATTTTTTAAAAAGGTCTAAATATTTCGAAAACGGTTATACTTAGGTATAGGGAAAGGTAATGAAAACATTCTCAAAATCATTTGTGTAATCCAAAAATGCAATAAAAAACATTACTTTCTATTAAAAAAAAACAAAGTTAATATCTACTTCCGGTGTAACAGGAAGTGCCGCCATCTTGAAAATATTTTCATTGAGCAGAACCTAACCGATTATGGCTATAAACAAAATTTTAGATAAATACCACTGTTAGAACTCCCAATCCTTCTAATGTGGATTTTAGTCGGAACATCCTGTATACAGGGTGCGCCAGAACTCGCGCCCCAGAGAAAAAATTCAAGTAAGATAAGATACCAGGAACACAGAAAAAATGTTTAAAAAATTCTATCTGTCAAAAAATTTGACATTTATTTTTTGACAATTGACATTTTTTTATGTCTATTTAATGATACTGATGATCTTGTATATGTTTTTTACAATTATTTAGTAAAGGCACAAAAATTTTGCCAATAAAAGCCACAAATAACATTAAACAGAGTTACAACTTAGGATACAGCTTCCTCGTTTCCTCTTCTAATAGCCTGTAGCAAAAAAACTTGGAAAATTATTTTTCCAACAGTAATAAATAGCTTCAAACTGCAAAATTTTTTTAACATTTTTTCCATATTCTTGATATCTTACTTTATATATGGCATTTTTTTTTGGGGCGCGAGTTCTGGCGCAGCCTGTATAGTCATGTCATGCAATAATCTCAATTCCAGGTTTCTGAGCTTCTTTGTCGGAAAAAATCCGACTCCGATGTCCGGATTCTCGCAAAAACTCCGGTGATTTCGACGGTGAAAACCAACCAAAACGTCACAAATATCAACATAACGACTCAACCAACTTCGAAAGAGCTTCAGGTGTTTCAAAAGGGTCAAGTGACGGCACTTGTGGCTAATATTCCGGGCCTGGAAACGTCGAAAGACACTCATTCTGCGCTTCCGGTGCGGTCGAAAAGCAGTCTTTCGAATGTTTCAAACACCCATATTCCGGCCCCAGAATCGGACCACCACTGTCATAAAACCCATCGGCATAAACACCGGTCGCGACATGGGCTTCAGACGTCGGCGAGCACCCAGAATTTGGACCAGAATGATAAGATAACCTACCGGAAACACAACCACCACCACCATCACCGAGAGAAGGATTACAGTTCGGAGACGAATTCAGCGATTGAGCACGTGACCCGATACAATAAACGGAATAGTGAGAATGGTTACAAGTACTCGAATTCGAACTCGGAGAAGGACTTCGGGTCGGATATCATGGACCAGAGTTACAAAAAAGCGACGAAAATCGTCCACGAGTTAACCCGAGACAGTCTCTATGAGAAACACCGCCAGAAATGCCTCACCGCTTCCGAAAAATACAACTCGGACATCCTCAAACATTACAATGCCCGGAAGTCGACTTCGGTTCTCGATTTCCGTTCCGAAATCCACATCGGGCCCAAATACCCCGACTCGAAGAGCGTCGAAGACTTGGACGAGAAAAAAGTCCACAAGAAAATCCAAGATGCTCGCAGTGTCAAATCCCTGGATTTTGACAGTGATTGCACGAGTCACAAATCCAAATCGATTGATTATACGTCGGAACCGATCGAGAACCGGAAATTGTCGGGATATTCCGGGTATTATGAGGTGAAACCGCGGCCAACGCCGCCGAAGAAACCCTTGAGATTGTCGTTGCATAAAACGCAGAGTCTGCAATCGGTGGAAACGCCTACGCCGGGGAGTTCCCCCGGGAAGGGTGAGTCCCGGAAGAGGAATTACAAGGGGGAGATTGGGATGCAGAATGGGTGTCAGGAGGTGAAGTGGGCGAGTTTTGGACACAAGCTGGAGAATGGGGTGGAGAGTGGGAGTTGGTGTTAGTGTAAATGATTGACGATTTTATAATAGATGTTTAAGAAAAACAAGTTTTTATTTTATCAAAGCAACAAGTAGTTATTTAAGTTTTTATTTATTGTAAATTGCCAAAATAAAACTGACAGAAATCTATTTTAGGTGCTTGTATTATTGAGTCCATAAAACTTATTTTAGAGACTTGAATAAATCCGCAAAACGTGTTTAAAAAAACATTATTTCTTTTCATTTTTGAATAATATTGAAATTTAAAAAAGCAAAATATTTTATTTTTTTGCTGTTATGTAACCAACAATACAGCATAGTAAGCAAAATGGCCCGCGTTTTAAAGCCAATGTTTGTTCCTCCCCTAGTTACCAATAAAATTGGTTGCTAGGGCGGTAAAATAAAAAGCACACCAATGAAAATTAATCATAATCTGTAACCTGAAGTCTACTTACTACTTATTTAAATTTTTATTAGTTTCTATTCTGCGAAAACATTAATTATAATAAACTTAAAAAAAGTTTTTCTGTATCCTGTTTTATAATTAGTATACGTTGATAAAGAAATAAATTTGGTGATTTAAAAAATAAATTTTCAGAAATACAGGCTGGTCCAAAAATTTAATAAAATCTTCTACTAAGTAATCTATAAATGTTAAATATTTAAAATTAAATTAAATTTAAAAATTTGTATACAAAAGTCATAGAACCAATCCACTACATCTTCTTAAATTATTTTCAAGTAGGTATGCTTACCTACAAACATTACAATTTAACACACTTTTTGCACATTTGGATGTAGCTTTACACCGCACCATAGAGGACTGCTATTCTTCCTCTGTGCTTATTTTTACAAACTTTTATATACATTTTTATATTTTATACAGAGTGCGCCAGAACTCGCGGCCCAGAGAAAAAGGTAAGATACTTACAAAACTATTTATTTCTGTTGAAAAAATAATTTTCCATGTTTTTTGCAATAGACTGTTAAAAGAGGAAACAAGGAAGCTATATCCTAAATTGTAACTCTGTTCAATGTTATTTGTACTTTTACTAAATAATTGTAAAAAACATATACAAGATCACCAGTATCGTTAAATAGACATAAAAAAAATTCAAATGTCAAAAAATAAATGACAAATTTTTTTGACAGATAACATTTTTTCAACATTTTTTCCATGTATTTTATCTTATCTTACTTGAATTTTTTCTCTGGGGTGCAAGTTCTGACACACCCTGTATACAAGGTGTTCGCTTTTCGGGGTCCACCACGGGGATCTCAGTTATCATAAGAGATACGAGGTCGATTAAATTAGAGCAAAGTTGCGTATTTTTATGCTGAACAATATTCTGAAAAAAAAAATTAATGTGTCATTTTTAGTTTTTGAATTATTGGAAAAAAACAATAATTTGTAATTTTCCTTACAAAAATTTGTAATTTTCGTTTTTATTTTTTTAAGCAAAAACAAAAGCCTAGACGTTTTTAATTAGGAGATTCTTAAGGCACTTTTTTACAAGGAATCTAAATCTGTCATCGTATTTTCCAAGGCGCTCTTGATGTCAGAGTTACGACACTCAACTTTGGATTTTCTTATGAGCACCATATTTGATTTCTGTATTTTTCTAAAGTCTTTTTGTTCCTGATTACAACGATGTACCACATGATATGATCAAATTTTGCATGCTGATCAAAATTAAGGAAAAGCGTTTTTACGAACAGTGCTTTGGAAAAAACGCCACCAATTTTAGCCCTGCCTAGTTTCCTTAGTCATTTTCCTATTTTCTATGTATTTGTTTCAACAAAAACCACAGATTCAGATATTACGTCTGGCTCACATTTTTTAAGAAATCATGAAAAAAGGTAGTTTTCATTATTTTTGGCATAAAAATCTGGCTCACATTTAAAAAAAAGGGTGAAAAAATAGGGTAGTTTCCATTAAAAATTTATGTTTCAATAGATAAAATGGGCTTAAAAACAGGTCATTTTCTCAATTTTTTGTGCCTTTGAAAAGACCTCAATGGGCTGTTTTTCAAACTCAACAAACTTCAACGACTAAAACTTGAAAATCGATTCATTTTTCTAGAAAAATATTGTTCTTTGGAAAATCTGAGTTAGAAGTGAGGGGTTAAAAATCAGGGTAAAAAGTCAAACTTAATGTTGTTTTTGATGTTTTGGTAGAAATATCGGTTTTTGTTGAAAAAAAATGCATAGAAAATAGGAAAATGACTAAGGAAACTAGGCAGAATAATCTGAATTACAAAGTTACACATATTAGACCACTGAATTAGACCACTGACATACAAATCTTGATTTTCAAAAATTTACTCGAATTTTATTCGAGTGAGAATAATTTGTCACATAATTATCCTTCCATCTCCTCCGACGTGTTTATAATACAAAAATATAACTTTTGAGCTATTTGACATTTTAGGCGCAGGTGTTGGAAACTCATAGAAAATCATTCGACTTTAAAAATTACCATTCTTATCACTTTCAATAGACTAATACCAGAACGTACTATTGACTGCCGTAGAAATGCAGTGTCAATAGTTTGGAAAAAGTATTTTACATTAAAGTGATAAAAACAAAATGATAAATATGGTGTAATTTTGTAACTATTATAGTAACACATAATTTTACCAAGTGTAATGTACCTGTACAGGGTGCGTCAGAAATCGCGCCCTAGAGAAAACTGCCATGTAAAGTAAGATATCATAAAAAAATGTTAAAAAAATTCTATCTACAAAAATTTGGAAGTTATGAGAGTATAAATTTTGCATTTTGACTCTATTTATTTCTGTTGGAAAAATAATTTTCCAAGTTAGAGGAGAGAAAAGAGGAAAAATTTGTGGCTTTTATTGCCAAAATTTTTGTACCTTTACTGAAATAATTATAAAAAAAACATATATAAAATCATCAATATCATTAAATACCTAGATATATAAAAATGTCAAATGCCAATAAATAAATGTCGAAATTTTTTGACTGATACAATTTTTGAAACATTTTTTCCATGTTTCTGGTATCTTATCTTTCTTGAAATTTTTATATGGAGCGCGACTTCTGACAAACCTTGTATATTCAATACACAAAAAAAACAAATCCTTGAGAGAGTTCCCTCGAACACCTCATCATTGACAATAGACACAATGCCGCCACGATCCGTCGAAAATTTCGCTATTTCGGGTAGTTTTGCCCGAAAAAAGAAGAAAGAGCAGCCGAGATTTTTAAATAGTCAATAATAAGCCACTTCCTGCCTAAACAAGAAGTAAACTGAACCGTTCAGAAATCAATAACAATACAGTTGTATTTCGCTCTCTCCGAACCCCATTCATAGATCGAGTACCTTCGCCCACCCCTCTTGCACTTGCAATGGAATAATAGACTTTACAATTTACTACGATGTCTATTATTACCCCCAAAGTCACAAATTCTTTCTCTGGCAGGTGGCCAGCAACCCCTCTCTCAAGGCCGCGAAAAATCTCAAATTTTATCCCAAAAAAATCGTCGTTCAAGGGTGGGTTGCGTCGGTGAAAAGGGGGGATTATCGGTATCATCCCTCAAAAGGGCCGCTGACCGGAGGTGCGAAAGGGTAGGATTACTTACACCCTCGCTATTGTCGGCCGGTGTCCAGTTTGGGGTGGTTTCCTGGCCGGCTTGTTTGTTCAAAGGTTTTAATTGGCGCTGGAGGGTTGGTATAGGAGTATCCGGTCAAGGATATGGGCGTTTTTGTGACGCGAGCGAGGAAGCGTAGCGGACCCATTGAATATTGATGAGACGTGATTTCATTCATAAAACAAACAGTTTTTGCGCATGGTGATGGAAAAGAGGGAAAAAATTTTCGGCTTGGTCGAGCGGAACGGACGAGGAGATACAAGAAATGGAAGCGACAAAGCGGGCTTGACACACGACTGGAGTGTGGTGTTCCAAGAGTTAACATTGACAAAGAAAATTACCGATATTTTTTAATAAAAAATAATTTTGACGACTGTTTTTAAAAGTTGCAACAAAATTGAGCAAAAATCTTCATCTAATCTTGAAAAATATCGATTTTTACGTACAACCTACATACAAAAAATATACTACTCTGTAAACAAAGTATCGAAAATTTTCGATTTAAAGAGTTCACGTAGAAGATATCTTAATAATTTTTGTCTGGCATATTGGCACAACCATACTCTATTACCAAGCCAAATTTTACCGCTATAAATTGTTTTACCATAACCATGGGCGTCGTTACATTTTTTTTAGAAAGGGGCAACCTCATCGCAGTTTAAAAATACATATTTTATTACAAACACATAAACATGTTATACAAAATAGGAACATAAAATCCATATATTTTCTAACGGAAATTATAAATACAACCATAAGACAGGGATCTCTAAAGCAAATAAAAGTGTAGAAGTTAAAAAAACATAAAAACAAAAAAATATAAAAATTGTAAAAGTTAAGCATAAAATAACACAAATCAGTTAATAATATGAACTAATAAATACTAATAAAAATGTAAGACTTGGAAATCAAAACATAAAATAAAAACTCTTTCAAATACATTCTAAAAAAAAAAACATAATCAATAGAAATAAAAAAATTAAAGAAATAAAAGTTTTAACTTTACTTTCGTTTTTCTCAACCAAGATCGTCTATAATAAAAAAGTTAAAAAATGTTACCAAAAAAAAATGTTAAAAAAAAGAAGTTGCAAAATGAGCGTGTTTTTTACTAGACGTGTGCAAAAAACAGCCATTTTGAATCGTGTTTTATACAATTTGGTTGTAAAAGCATAGGCATCAGATTCGAATTTAAAATCTGTGATTTCAATAATTTTCCAAAATCATACTAGGTCATAGCGTTGCTATGAAAATAGTGTTTGTTTACGTCACACTTTTTAACACTAGTGATAAAATAATGTCATATTTTATAACTAGTGATAAAATAAACACATTTGACAACTAAAATGACATATCACAACAAAATTGGAAAAAAAATAGTTTACCGCTAACGGAATAAAACTTATTCCGAAAAAATGTCTTAGGCTAACTTCCAGGGAGGGCCCCTTTCAAACGACGCCCACGATCATAACTTGTGGTTACGTCAGACTTGCGAATTTTGTCACTACCGATCAGAGAATTTGTTTGAAATTTCGTGT